TTCCCTATGTATTTCAAGCTCTAGTGGAATGTTTAGCATAAACTTTACTACAGATTTCAAAAGCAAACTCTCTGAGGTAAAGTTTAGTGTTTTGAAATAAGTTGTGTAAGTTTGTGCTGCAGTGTGTTAGTTTGTCCACTAGAGGCGCTGGCGCTCCACCATAAACTTCCACAGAACAAAGGAGGCTGTCATCAATACACTTTAAACTAAAAATACTCTCTAATGAAAGAGAGCCAGATGAAAGAACAAAGTTTCTCTCTGTGCGAGTGGATTGCATTGAGCTTGTGTGTGGTTTGCTGATGAGCTGGAGTTCACTCGCATTCCCTTTAACATGTTGGACGTGTCTGTCTGTCTCTCTCGCTGTGACCTTTCACTCGCATAAACTCTTGCCTTGTATGGAAAAGAAGAGCGGCTGTGTCTGTGTGGGTGTGTGTGTGTGTGTGTGTGTGTGTGTGTGTGTGTGTGTGTGTGTGTGTGTGTGTGTGAGTGTGTGTGTGTGTGTGTGTGTGTGTGTGTGTGTGTGTGTGTGTGTGTGTGTGTGTGTGTGTGTGTGTGTTTAAAGTGAGATCAGGAGTTCCAGAAAGAGCAGACATGATGGCTGTGGTTCAAGCTAAACTAATATATGCAGAAACACAATGATTTTCATGTAAGACAGACAAAGAGACAGAGACAAGACACAGAAGTGGAAAAACAGCTGGACACTTACAGAAATAAACATAAGTAAGTGTGTGTGTGTGTGTGTGCCTCCCTGTTTTTCTATTCTGGTGGGGACTTAAACCTGAATACACACAAACTCATGGGGACTCGTGTCATTGAGGTCCCCACGGGTAAACAAGCTAATAAATCACACAGAATTATTATTTTTTTAAATCTAAAAATGCACAAAGTTTCCTGTGAGGGGTAGGTTTAGGTGTAGGGCAGTAGAATATACAGTATAAAAACCATTACGCCTATGGAATGTCCCCACAATGATAGCAAACCAGACGTGTGTGTGTGTGTGTTAATGGTTTAAAGTATTTATAGTTTGTCCCAAGAAGTGAGCTGAATGCAACTAATCCTCCCTTTAAAAACATTTGAGGTATTTTGTAATTTGGGGAGTATACAAACGTATAATATACAATATAATACAGTATATTAAGATATGTTACCATATGTATAATATATAATACTGTATATTTTATGTGTGTGTTTAAGTGCTAAAAGTTCTCTTGTATGTTTTAGTTTTGTCTGTAGTCATATTTGTCTTTATGGAGGAAAAAAAAGCAATGATGATAAATGATATGTCCTGAATTGAAGGTGTGTGTTGGAGCTCTTTTGTGTGAAGCAGCTGTGTACTGAAACTGGATTCCATGAGAGGAAGATAAAAGCCTGAATGGATGAATAGACCTCAGGCAAGACAAAAATACAAAAGACAGCAAGAGTTTTACAACACAATCCAGAAACAATAACATTAAAGAGCCTGTGTTTGATAGTTCCTGATTGTGCAATCTCACACACGCACTCTTAAATGTAAAGGTAATGTAACACAGATGTGCTGTAGTTGTGCTGCAGTCCTCATTGTGACCTGCAGAGGCACCATTGGCTCATAAATGAGTTTTGGTATCGTGTGTGTGTGTGTGTGTGTGTGTGTGTGTGTGTGTGTGTGTGTGTGTGTGAGTGTATAATTTAAATATTACCTACCCCAACCTTTTGAATGACAATTTAAAATATATTACAGATTAAATATATATATAAAAATAATAGAAAATAATTTAAATATTTGAATAATACATTTTAAAATATTTTAATATATTTACATATATTTAATATTAAATGTTAAAATATAAAATGTATTTTATGTTTTAAAAAACAGAAAATATTTATTTAAAATTGCAATAATATTTCACAATATTACATAATTTTGTTTATCAAATAAGCGACAATA